CTTTTTGGAGTAAGTCTAGAGAAGAAGCTGATACAAAACAAAGGCAGGTCAGGACTAGCAGCGTAATGGTTATGTCGCTGGACTCTCACGTAGTCGACCGCGGTTCGCATCCCGGACCCGGTGGCTTGAACTCACGCCAGGTGCGTGTGCGTGCATACCCAAGATCCCGAGAGGAGAATGGAGGAGAAGGGATTGTGGTGTGGCCATCCCCCCTGGGGGGCGATTTCTTGCTTTCTATCTCTATGTCTCTCTCTTTCTCTGTCTGGCGAGCGCACGTGCCCTATAGCAAAAACTTCTAAGAAAAACAACAACAACAACAACAAAACAAAGGCAGGTCCAGCTGAGTGGTGCAACTGTAGGAATACCATGATCCTAGCTGGCTGAAAGGCAGGAAGATCTCGGTGTAAGCCCCTGTAGAGGCTCGCTCGCGCTCGTGTTCTCTCTCTCTCTCTCTCTCTCTCTCTCTCTCTCTCTGCCTTTCTTTCACAAAAGAAATGGAAGAAAAAAAAAAGAAGAAGAAGAAGAGGGCAAAGCCAAGACCACTATGAGAAAATGAAGCCAGACCCTGAGGTAACCAAAACCAAGGGCTGGTCTTTCCCTGGACTGTGCAACAATGTAAGTTTATACTCCTGTTATGCTAAAAGTTCTTGGACATTCTAGTCCTTAAAACTAGACACAGGACCCATACAGAATTTGGAAACAGAAAGGGGGTTCCTAAGTAACAAATCCTAAAATGTGAAACTGTCTCAAAGCAGAAGAGCAAGGAAAACCTCTCCTTCCTCATGGGGATTCCGATATCCTTAAATATTGGTTCAAGTATTTTCTTGCATACTTTGGACCAGACCCTGTGACTACCAGTATTGTAGTACTGTAAAGCCCAAGAGGGCAATTACCACAGTTTTCACTACTCGTTGTGGCTGTCGCTAAGGCCCTCCAAATACATGTTTGTGATACTGGTCTCTGTACTTTTCAGTGGACTTAGCTGTCAAAGTGCAAAGTATTCGAAACTCTCAGTATGTAAAAAATTAAGTCCTAAGAAAATACTGAAGGAAGAAAGCCTTAGGTCCTACTTGTTCCCAGCTGGTTTTAGAGTCTATCTGAGAATCTGCTGTAATAATCAGAACTCCTCTGGCCTTTAAATTGGAAGGTGAAGGAGGCTGGGATAAAATAATGTGTGTTAGCATTTTAGCCCTGAGGAATTAGAAAATACAAAGCCTGAAAGGTTCTATTAATAAATAACTAGGTATTCTACATATCAAAGGAACTCTCCAGACTAAAAAATAAAGTGGCCTATTAATTTAAAAGACCAATATTTGAATTGTTTAAAAACAAAATGCCCTGCTTTTGAAAAACGTGGGGGTCAGCGGGTGGCACAGCCGTTAAGGCAGTACGTGGCCAACTGCGTACTCCGAGTCCTGGATCCAGCAACCTGGGAAGTACATGGAGTGAGTGTGTGTGCCCAAAATCGCAAAAGGGGTAACAGAAGAGGTGGTGTGTGGCCATCCCCTACGGGAAGGTGCTTCCTCCCTCCCTCCCTCCCTCTCTCTCTCTCTCTCCCTCTCTCTCTCTCTCTCTGTTGCTCTCCTTGGAGCACACATGCCCTTTGACAATTTTTTTTTTAATTCTGAGAGCCACATCCTTTCTTTTTTCCAGTACAGAAAGACCTATTTTACATTTCTAGAGTGCTAAATAAGCGCCTATCATATAAAGATTTGTTAAGATGGAATAATATTTCTGATACTCACAGTCAAAGTTAAACACACTGACTTAAAAATTACCAAACTCGCCACTGACCCACTACACTCCTTACTTCTCAACCCACCCACCTCTCGTTGTACTTGCAGTTTTGCATGTTTTCTACTCAGCTGTCTTCTAATTTACTGCCATGTGAAATGTGCCTAGCTTTCTCTGCATACGTCCCAGGACGTCTCCGTACTGTGTGCTCCCGAGTGTGGGCTTCCCATCCTCCCAGCTGGGAGCCTCTCACTCCCCTTCCTCGCCCTGTCGATATGGGACAGCCCAAACGCTTCTGTCCCACTGAAATTCATATGTTGAAATCCTAACCCCCAGGGTGACAGTACCTGGTGGTGGGGCCTTTGGGAGACGGTTAGGTCCTAAGGGCAGAGCATGCAGTTAATTAGAGATGCAGTTAGTGCCCTTAGGAAAGACCCCAGAGAGACCCTTTGTCCCTGCACCATGTGAGGACACAGCCAAGAGGCTGTTTAGGAGACAGAAAGCAGGCTCTCACCTGTCACAGAATTTACTTCGATCTGGAAGCAGGCTCCAGAACCGTAAGAAGTGGATTTTTGTTGTTTATAATCTACCTGGTATATGGTACTTTTATACAGCAGCCCAAACAGACTAAGACACGATGCATCATGTCTTATTTACTTCACTTATTAGATATAACTAGAAAAACAAAAGTTTTTAATGCCTGTTTTAGTATTTTTTAGGCACTGAAAAAAAAAATTTTGGGGGGAGAGGTTTTTGCTATAAAGCGTGTGTGCTCGCCAGAAAGAGAGACAGAGACAGAAAGTGAGAAATCACCCCCCAGGGAGGATGGCCACACTGCAATCCCTTCTCCTTCATTCTCCTCTTAGGATCTTGGGCGTGGCACGCACACGCCCCTGGCATGAGTTTAAGCCACCAGGTCCGGGACTCAAACCATGTTCGATTACATGGGAGTCCAGTGACATAGCCATTATGCCATCTGCTGGTCCCACAATTTTAATTCCTGACTTTAAAAAATTATTTCTTGAGCCAGCAAGTGGCGTGGCAGTTAAAAGCACTGGACTCCCACATGACCAACCATGGTTCAAGTCCTGGACCTGGAAGCTTGCTTTCTCACTTTCACTCTTTCTTTCTTTCTAACTCTGTCCTTCTCTGGCCAAATTAAAATAAATAGATTAAAAAATAGATCAAATAAAATAATTCTTTAAAAAAAAATTATTTCTTGGGCCAACCTGTGGCATGGTGGTTAAGGGAAGCTGGATTCTACATGGCCAACTGCACAGTTTGAGACGCAAACCCAGTGGCTTTAGAAACATACCAGATGTCTGTGCACATGTGCCCAAATTTTTTTTTGGAAAGAGAAGCGGAGGAGAAGGGACTGCAATGTGACTGCTCCCAGTGGGCGCTTTCACTTGTTCTCTCCCCGACTCCCCTCTCGCCAGAAAGCACACACAGCTCCTGGTAAAAGTACAAACTATAAACATGTATTTCTTGAATTACTTTATGTTACGTGATCCTGGAACTGACCAACAGTGGAGCAGTGACATGATGAGGTGCTGCTTACTGCAGAATAACGATTTTTCTTTTTTGAGAGGGATTTTTGCTATAGGGCACATGTACTCACCAGAGAGACAGACAGAGAGAAAGTGAGAAATCACACCTCTAGGGGGATACCTGCTTATTTTAAAAATGCAAATTCTTTAAATAATTTTCTATTAAATGGATATATCTAATTTGATAACAGCTTGTGAAAACATGAATTTAGCAAGTGCCTAAATTGTGACTTGCCTTTGACACTTCGATGGTTTTATCACTACTTTGCAGAATTCTCACTACTATAAAACATAACTAATATATTTTATGACTGTGTAAACTCAAAGTGGGTCTACAGAGAGAAAAAAATGAAGCAGAGAATTAACCCATCCAAATCAGATGGTCAGAAATACACCAGGAATCAGAATCTGACCTTTTTAAAATAAAAAATAATTATCTTATTTAACTTTATTTATTTCTTTCTTTTAATCTGACCAGAGAGGAACAGAGTGAGAGAGAGAGGGAAAGTGAGAAAGCAAGTCACAGAACTCGAACTGCAGTCAGCTGTGTGAGAGTCCAGAGCCCTTAACCACCACGCCACCTGCTGGCCCCAGAATCTGACCTTTTGATCCCTGGTCTATAACCACTAAACAGTATAGTTCTAACATTTATGATTTTTTAAAAATAGTTTCAACTAAATTCTCCATAAATACAAATATAAAAATTAATTTCCATTTCTAATTTAGAGTAAATTTAAATAGTTTTCTTCTCCTGTTGAAAGTTCTACTAGACAATGTTCTATATTAAAAAAATTTTAAATAGGTCCCAGACATATATAAAGAGAAAACTGGATTAAACTGGAAATCACAATTTTAAAAAACTAGAAAAAAACAACACTATGGCACAAGGGCATCTGATGTTACAGAGTAAAGAAGAGTTAGCCCAGAGACCAGCAGGTGGCATAATGGTTACGTCACTGGACTCCCACGTAGGTGACTGTGGTTCGAGTCCCGGATCCAGCAGCTTAAACACATGCCAGGTACATGTACCTGCGTGCCCAAAATCACAAGATGAGAATGGAGAAGAAGAGATTGCGGCATGGCCATCCCCCATGGGGGGCGATTTCTCACTCTCTCTTTAAGAGCAAAAATCACCCCCATGGGGGGTGATTTCTCACTCTCTCTTTAAGAGCAAAAATCGCTCTTAAAAAAAAAAAAAAAAAAAGATTTAGCCTTAAAGGTCAACTGAAAAGCCCCTAATTACATTCACAACTTAGCTATATTTCACTGGATAGAGAACAATTTTTTTTTTTTTGAGAGGTTTTTGCTATAGGACGTGTGTGCTCACCAGACGGACAGAGAGAGACATAGAGACAGAAAGCGAGAAATCACCCCCCCAGGGGGGATGGTCACGCCGCAATGCCTTCTCCTCCATTCTCCTCTCGGGATCTTGGGCATGCACGCACACATGCCTGGCATGAGTTCAAGCCACCGGTCCGGGAGATAGAGAACAATTTTATTAACATATTTGTAATTTCACCAAACAAAATATTTCAGTGCTGTCATTTTCCATAATATTAGCGAGCTTAATATGTAACATGCCCCAGGACAGGGATTTACCCTGAATAATTTCCATTTTCCCTGTGAACTCAGTTGACAACCCTTAGCAAGGCAATATGGAAGAGGAACAATTAGGAGATGGGTGTTCTTAAAATGCAGTCGCGTGCCGATACTAGCCTGTCGTACGCAGCGATCACAAAGTTGAGGAGGAGGCTGATGGACTGTTCCACGCTGATTTGGTGAGTAGAAGGAAGGCGCTTGTTCAACTGATAGTAGATTGACGAGATGACGGTCTCGAGGCGGGACACACTGATCTCAGTGGCATGGTCCAGTGTGTTAAGGCCATTGTCTCGGAAGGCTTCAATCATATTCCAGATATCAACCAGGTGAACTAAAACACAACGAAGATAAACTGTCACAATTTTAAAGCACACACTACCTTCGCCCTGGACATCTGAATTTATCCACTAGTTTTAGGGTTTAAGGCAATGAAACTGCTTAGCCAGCAATGAGAAAAACCTTCAGTGGCAGAATAAAGAATGTCAGTTCCAGGCTTTAGCAACATTATTTTAGTCTATGGTAAAAACGGTTCTGAAGATAAAAGTTGATATGGCCGATAACACTCACGGATCAGCATGCATGTGCAAAATCAGTTGAATACAGTTTTGGTCGCCTTTAAAGTTGTGTGTATGTGTAAGAAGTGATTTTATATGGACAGAAAGTAAATAGCACATTTAAATATACTTAATGTTTTATACATACTTAAGTTTTCTATGTTTTTGTCTTTTCATTTGTCCCTTGAGCAACTGAAACTGGCTTGCCCTAAGGCTAATGAATCTCTTCCACAAATAATAGAAACATGAAGTGCTTATCTGAATGAATAACCAAAAACTGAACATCTACTCTTAGATTTCTGTTGTTTTTGTTTTTGCTAACGGGCGCATGCACTCACCAGAGAGAGGAAGGAAAAGTGAGAAATCACCCTCCAAGGGGTGTTGGCCACGCCGCGGTCCCTACTCCTCCGTTCTTCGCTCGGGATTTTGTGGGGACCTATGCACACACGCCGAGAGTGACCTTAAAGCGTCCAGCTTCAAGACTCGAACCATAAAGTCAGCTATGTGGGACCCAGCAGCTTAACCTCCATGCCACCCACTAACCTCCATGCCACGCACTGGCCCTATCCTTAGGTTTCTGATATCCCTCTGTGGTCAGGAAATTTTTGAACATCCAATAATAGACTTGACATTGACTACTGTAACATTTTATGTTCAATGTTAAGAAAATATAAGTATAATAAACTATTGGCTTGTGTGATTACAAAAAAAAAAAAAATGTCAGCTCTAGGCTTCAACAAGCCACCACACAGTCCAAGAGTGATTACCTCCAGACTTTATATTTAACTTGCATTCCAGATCTGTCAACAGTGACCTAGTAATAAGTAATTTGCAAAAAAGATCAAGAACTATTCTTAAGAACTTCTAGCCTTTCTAGCAATTCATTATAACATCTTAAATCACTGTATTACTTTAGCCTAGCAACTTTAGCAACAATCTACAGCTCTATTTTCTAACTCTATAAAAAGAGGTATACAACTGCAGTGAGTAAAACACTAATACACCTTACAGACTATTCATGACTCTGAACAATTTAATCCTTTGCCTATTTTCCCCATTTCTTACAAAGTTGTTTTTTTGTTTGTTTGTTTTAATTTCCAGTAATAAGTTAGACTATGTACCTGGACTATTCTCCCCCTAAAACTAATTTAAAATATGAATGAAACATAAAACATCTTCAGTCCATTAGTGACTCAGGAAAAAAGTAAATAATACTCAGCCAGATATAAAAGACATTTCCTTGAAGGGACAATAATTAGAATGATACCTGCCTTCAAGTAACAAAGGAAGTAGGAGACAGTAACTTCAAACCAAAGGAAAGGGGGTGTAACTTTATCACAAGAAAATAAAAGGGTTTGGAAAACCACATGATCATCTCAGTAAACACAGAAAAAGCATCTGGCAAAAATCTAACATGCTTTCACAATAAAAACACAACAAACTAAGAACAGAAGGGAACTTCCTCAACCTGATAAGGCCATCTACCCAAAAACCACAGCTAACACCCTATCTAATGGGGAAGGAACAAAACGTCTCCCTTCAAAGTCAGTAACAAGACACCTGAAGTATAAGTAACACTTTTATAAGAAAAAAATAGATACAGTAGATTTTATGCAAAGTAAAAACTTCTGTGTTTCAAAAGATAACATGAAGAAATTAAAATGGCAACCCAAAGAATGGAAGAAAATATTTGCAAATCATGCATCCAATAAGGGTCTAATATCCCAAATATGTAAAAACTCTTACAACTCAACAACAAAAAAATATGAGTGAATAGCTTAAATGAATATTTCTCCAAAGGAGATACATAAATAGCCAAGAGCATACGAAAAGATGCTCAACATCATTAGTCATTACAGAAATGCAAATCAAAATCACAATGAGATAGCACTTAACACACACTACAATGTCTGTAATTTTTTCTAACGGGAAATAAGAATTGGTGAGGATTTGATGAAATCGGAACTCATCGTATGCTACTGATGTGAAAATCAAATAATGCAGCTGATTTGGAAAATAGTTTAGCGATTCCGTATGAAGCTAAATAAAGTTACCACGTGACCCAGCAATTCCAACCCAAAAGAATTGAAAACACATGTTCACACAAAAACTAGTACATAAATATTCATAGCTGCATTATTCATAAAAACCAAAAAAACGAAAGCAAAAAGTCCATCAACTGATGAGTAAACAAATTGCGGTATACACACACACACAGAAATATTATTCAGTCACCAAAAAAAATGAAATACTGATATATGCTACGATGTGGGTGAACCATGAAAACTTTATGCTAAATGAAAACAGAAGGCAGTAAAGACCACATATTTCATGATTCCAATAATATGAAATGTCCAGAATAAATGTCCATAAAAATCAAGATTAGTGGGATCCAGGAGCTAGGGGAAGAAGGAAATAGGAAATGATTACTAATGGGTACAGGGTTTATTTCTGAGATAATGAAATATCCTAGAATTAGATAAGATGATTGTATAACTCTAAATCCATTGAATTATATACTGAAACAGTGGGGTTTTCGTGTGAATTATATACATATCTCAATTTTTTTTAAATTGTGGTACAAAACATACTGGTAAAGATAAAAAGGCCCATTCTCTTAAAAGAGTTTTAATTCATCAGAATGATGTAAGGGGGTTGGCAGGTATCATGGCGGTTAAGGCACTGGACTCACACATGGCCAAACGCAGTACTGAATCCTGGACCCGTGGCTTGCTTTCTCTTTTCCCCTTTCTCTCTGGTCAAATTAAAAATAATAATAACAAATAAAATAAAATGAATAAAAAATAATAAAAAAACAATGCTGTAAGAATTTTACATTTATTTACACATCATAGAATAGCCTCAAAATATATAAGCAAAAATGTACAGAATCTCAGAGAGAAATAAACGAATTCACAAGCTTTGTGGAAAACATGAATGCACCTCTCTTGGTGACAGTGTAAACATACAGTTATGAACACAGTGATTACACATCATGATAAACAGAGTAGGCATAAGGGGCAATATATAGGCTGCTGCCCACAATGACTAGAGAATATGCTTTTTTTCAAGCATACACAAAAAAAGTATAAAAACTAACAATATCCTGAGCAAAGCAAATCTCACAAATTTCAAAGGATTAGAATCACACGAACCACGCTCTCTGATCAAAATGAAATTAAGTTTAAAAATATCAGAGGGCTGGCTCCACAGTGCAGTGGTTAAGCACTGAGCATTGGGAATAAAATCCCACATGGCCGACCACGGCTGGGAGTCCCAGCTCCAGAGGTTTGAGAAACACACCAGGCACGTGTGTGTGAGTGCCCAAGGCTCTGACAGATGGAAAAATGGAGCGGCTGCAGTGTGACCACCCCACCGGGGGGTGAGGGGGTTCCCTCCCCCTCTGTCTCCCTCTCTCTCCCTCCCTCTAGCAAGCACACACACTCTCTGGCGATTAAAAAAAAAAAAAAATTATCAAAAAGAACTTTTTAAATAAACTTTACCTTAGAAATGAAGAAATACACTACTAGGGAATTTTCTTAATCTGATTAAGTTAATCTACAAATAATCTAAAGCAAATATATTACTTAACAGTAGAATGTTGAAAGATTTTCCTCTGATGATACTGGGCCTATGATAAGAAATGATCGCTGTTATTTTAATTCTACTTGAGGCCTAATCTATATAAATATGTAGGATAATCACTAGAGATAAATAAATAAATACAAGAGTCACTAGTCAGAAACGACAAAATTATATACACAGAAAATTACTAAAATTAATATATGAATCTACTTATAGAGCAGTTGCTAGGTAGGTAAAGATACAAAAGTCACTGTATGTTTATATATCAGTAACATATGATGAAATTTTAAGCTATTTGGCCTAGTGGTTAAGATGGCTCGATCCCACATGGCCAGCTAAGGCTGGAAAAATACTGAGTAATATCTGCATACATATGTTCAAATTCATAACAGGGTGGAAAAATAGAAAGGATTCCAGTGTGACCATTCCCCACTGGGGGATGCTTTCTCCCTCTCCCTCTCTCTCTCTCTGTCACGTGCACATGCTCTCTAGCAATTAAACAAAAAGTGAATTTTATTGCCTGTTAATTATACCCGAAAAGAATTCCAGCAAAAGCCTGGGGTTTATTTCTAGTAGAAAGCAACATACAAGTTATACAATTTATATAAAAATTTAATGTGAAAAGGCCATAATGTCCCAGAGTATATATTTTTTTAAGTGGGCAGAGTTGCTTTTTTATAAAAGAATTATTTTATTTAACTTTTTATTATTTATTCACTTACTTATTTTAATTTGACCAGAGGGGGAGAGAAAGAGAAAAAGAGAGAAAGTGAGAAAGCGAGCTACCAGGTCCGGGACTTGAACCATGGTCAGCCATGTGGGAGTCCAGCGCCTTTAACCACCAAACCTCCTAGTGGCCCCAGGCAGAATTGCTTTATCTGATACCAAGATTTAGTATTATTAAGCTCTAATAGTGGTTACTGGTAAAAGAAACATGAGATACTGAAACAGTGTGGTTACTGGTAGAAAGACAGCCTCATGCAACACGAGGGCGTTAAAAAGCATATCTTCTAGCTTATGACCACTCCTGCACCTTTTTTCTAGTGACTGGAAGAAGTTTTTGTTTGTTTGTTTGTTTGTTTGTTTGTTTCAGCAGTGAAGAAAAAGAATAACCTTTTCAATAAGCAGTGTAGGAATAACTGAACACATACATAGAAACAACTGAAATTTGACACCTATTTATACTGTACACACCCACACAAAGAAAGATTGCAGGTAGATCATAGACTCCTACGTGAAAGGTAACAAAATAAAACGTTAGAATAATGCACCTTTACTTTCTATTACAAATCCCACTAGCTTACTTCAAGCTCTTAAAACTCCACACATATGGGAAGAATTATAAAAACAAGAATTGCTCTGAAACAATGATTGCCTTTTCTTTTTTTTAATTGCCAGAGGTCACGTGCACTTACCAGAGAGATACAGAGAAACAAGAGACAGAGAGAGAGAAGAAGAGGGAGAAAGCATCCCCTACTGAGGTGTGCTTGTGCCACAATCCTTTCTCCTCCATTTTTCCATCCTGTCAGGATTTGGAGCATGCACACACACACACACACACACACACATACACACCACATATGTTTCAAGACTCCAGGGACTGCATTTAAACTGCAGTTGGCCATATGGGATCCAGCTTCCTTAACCATTAGGCTGTAGGGCCAGCCCAACAGTGGTTTTTCTGAACACAACCCACAGAACTGTATTTAAACTATCACACACATACATACACACACTCATCACACTCACACACACAGCTAGGTATATAAGAAAAATAAAGTTCACAAAAACACTTTTTAGCCTTACCGTAAGAAGCATTCTAATACTGTCTTTTTCTATTCTTTTTTTTTTTTTTTCTATTCCATTATTTTAATTCTGGCTAGAACCCACCAACATGATTTCATAAAGCATTTATGGGTAAAAACCCATAATTTGAAAAATAATGCTTTGGGGAACCACAGAAAAAAACATAATTCCAATCTAGGATGGCATAAAAAACTCTGGAGAGTATTTTGAGCCGGGATTTGTGGGTAAATTTAAAGTCAAGTAGAAGTCATCAGATATAAAGTGATGGGCCTAAAGTCACTCATTTATAATAAAAGGCAAAACCCAGATTTTTCCATTCTAAGGTTTGAAACTGGGATTTTTCAACTCTAAGGTTTGAAACCACAGTTAATGTTCTTTCTATATTATAAAAGCTTTTCATACAAACACACACACACAGAAGAACAGAAAATTCTGTCGTAAATTAGTTCACCTTTGTGGAAAGTAAGAGAAGAAATATTACATATATTAATGTATATATTTATATAAATACATGCATTTATATATTTTATAACTCAGGTAATGGCAATTACAAAAAAAGGCTGACTTATGTTATATTTCACTTAATCAGGAAGATTAAGTCTCACGATACGTTTATCAAAACATGAATGTTTTACGGGACCAGCAGGTGGGGTGGTGGTTGAGGCGCTGGAACTCCCACATGGCCAACCACAGTTTGGAGTCCTGGACCTGGTGGCTTGCTTTCTCACTTTGCCTCTCTCTCTTTCTCTGTGTGTATGTGTCTCTCTCTTATCAAATTAAAATGAATGAATGAATAAAAATTAGATAAAAAATAATTCTTTTTTAAAAAAAATGAATGTTTTTCTTGTTCTCCAGAAGCAGAAAATTGCCTTAATGTTAAATAAAATATTTTATCAATACAAGTGACAACGAAAAACCAATTCTCCCACATAAATAACACTGTTACTATACCAGCATCAAAACTCATTATGTTACTGGGTCAGTTAAACATTCTGAGTGACACAGGAGTAAAAAGACATGTTCTTTCCACTATAAAACTTACATTCTGGTAAATACTTATAAGATAATTAATTACAATATGATTAAGAGACATGAAAATCTTTTAAAGCACTGAGAGCTCTACTCAGCTATCACAAGTGAGCATAAGTGACTTACGGTTGCATCGTTTCTGTACAAATCGTAACTTGCAAGCTGTTCTGTAAGTTGACAGTCGTATGACATCAAAATTCTGAGCACCTGAAAAAAAGGGCAAATAAAAAATGCTCAACCAGATTTATGGTTTCGTTGCTAAATGCTGAGAAGTGACTTCACCGCACTGTGTTGCCACAGTATGCAAGAGATCAACCGGGCCTCCTTTTAATGAGAAAGCAGAGGGTGGAAGGGTTGAGGAACCCCTGCACGCCCACTACCCTCCAGGACTCCCACGGTTCTGCCCATGTTATCCTGTCTCTGGCCTGAGGAAACTCTGAGGGGAGGAGCACTCACGATGCAAGTGAAGGTACTGCACCTTTGGAAGGGGCAGTAGAGTAGAGAAGAAAAGAATCAAGAAAGCTGAGCTCCACTCCCAGCCCAACCTCCAACCATCGAAAGTGACTGTGGCCAGGTTAGGTACCTCTTCTCAGCCTCAGTGTCTTCATCAGTAAAATGAGGGAACTGAACCCGCTGACCTCTAAGGTCTTCTCTCTGGTCTTGGCAGCCTGTATTTTAATTAATGGCCATAAATAACAATATTTCCAGAGCAGTATTTCATGTGCTCCTAGTGCATGGCCCCGTCCCTCTCCATCACAAACTAGTGATTATTTCCTTGCACTGGAATCTGAGCGGGACACGACTGCCTCAAAGAGCACAGTGCTTCAGAAGGGCCCCTGTAAGACTTCCAAAGACAGGTGACAAAAGATGATGGTGCAGCTTGCCCCTGCTCTCAGTCCTTCAGGTTGTTTGTTCTTGGAACCCGGATGCCAGGATGGGAGGAAGCCCACGTGAGCAGATGTGGGGAGACCACAGAGAGAGGCTCAGATGCAGAGGAACCAAGGCCATTAACCAAAGCCAGCATCAAGGGCCAAGCATATGAATGAGCACACCTTCAACCAATTCAAGTCCTGAGCCTCTGCGCCTTCCATCTGAGGCCTCGGACATCACAGAGAAGGTCAAGACCTTGGCAGTAGACGGTGTTCTAAGTCTGGCCCCACAAAATGCATAAACAAAATAAATCACTGTGTAGGGCTCAGTGACATGCAGACCTAGTAACTAGGACAAAGCCTGAAATTACATGAGTCTATAAATCATGCTTTGTTCTCATTGTAAAAAATGGGCTGTAAATGGATCTTTGGATTTTAAGGCCACTTTAGATAGCTTAGGCCCCCAATGTGAGTCTTTTATTTCATCCATCCTGCCTTTATAAGATTTAGCAGCAACTTTTGAGTCAATAATGATAAAAAGAAAACAAATTCTTTTCTTTTCTCTTTCTTTCCCCCCCCCCCCAAGAGGTTTTTGCCTCAGGGCGTGTGCGCTCGCCAGAAAGACAGAGAGACAGAAAGCGAGAAATCGCCCCCCAGAGGGAATGGTCATACTGCAATCCCTTCTCCTCCATTCTCCTCTTGGGATCCTGGGCACACATGCACATGCACCCAGCGTGAGTTAAGCCACCAGATTCGGGACTCAAACCGCAGTCAACCATATGAGAGTTCAGCGACATAGCCATTATGCCATCTGCTGGTCCCATATTTTCTACCTATATTTATAGGCATGTCTCATTTCTGTTGATCTCCTGGTATTTTTTTTTTTTTTTGAGGGTTTTTTCCTTTGGGGACGTGCCTTTAACCG